CACCACAGCAGCCTGCCTACCATGGGCTGATGATGATGTCGACCGGGACTCCAAGCCCAAACTCTACGGTCCACCACCTGGTTCCTTCTTCAACAGTCCTTGGCTTCACCTCGTCAATTCTCATCCTCATCCTGAATCCCTTCACATCCATTCCATTCCCTCTGTGTTCTTGACCCTAGAGTGAAAGGTGTAACAAGTTCATCTGGACAGTATGTGAAGGATCAATATCACCAATGTCCAGTATAGTTATTAAGTGGTGATGAACAGAACACAAAGCAACCTATCTCATGTTATTGTTCTGTATTCTGACAACCTGTGTATGATAGTGTGTATAGAGTATGATTCTGTTTCAGCTCTTGACCCGGGACTATGAAGGTTAACACAAGGAACTGATCAACTAAACGGCCCACACTGGACCATGAACATATTCTGAACTCATGTATGTAAATAAGACCACATTTATGAATGTATCATTTATTTCTGTGTTTATTACGTCAATGAGTCTGATTTTAATAAATGTTAATCAAATGTCTATACAATGTCTTTGTTCATTCATTTAACACCTTGTTGGTGTTATTTTATGTCATTCGATTTTTACTACTAGAAGTGTTCAGTAAAGTTAGCATTCAGACGTCTAGTAGTTCTCATTTGGATACGCCCACTGTGGATATCTACTCTCATATCATTGATCTACTCCCATTGGCATTAGGCCAATCAGCTGTGACCTGTTAGAAAGAAGGAAATATGTTAATCAGTTCCTTCATCTCCTCAGTCCTCCACCTCTGTCTACTTATGAAAATCCTGCTTAGTACAGTGTTCCACAGAATATTTTATTCTAAACACATCTATATACCAGAAAAATAACGGACATTTAGAAAATATTTGTTCTGAATTCCTTTCATTTCAAAATAATTAATCACATTTCAACCCAAGAATGAAACTTGCAACATGTTTAGTTATACCGAATGTTAAACACTAACGTCACCATAATAATGAAAATAAATATAATTTCCATTGACTTGATAACTGTACAAGGTCTTGACAACATACAGTATACTCTTCATTAGTGTGCACCATCATGTCTCTCTCCACTTGGGCTTAATATCAGAACATATTCAAAGTAGCTGATAACTGGTTAACGTGTTATAATTGTTAGGGTCAGAGCAAGACAGAAGGTCCATTGTCAAGGATCTGGTCAGAACAGTATTTAAAGGGTCACCTCTCCCAGCTTCAGTACAGGCTCTAACCATCACAGGGAAGATCCTTCACTCTCACCTCTCAACAGGGAAGACCCTTCACTCTCACCTCTCAACAGGGAAGATCCTTCACTCTCACCTCTCAACAGGGAAGATCCTTCTCTCTCACCTCTCAACAGGGAAGACCCTTCACTCTCAACTCTCAACTCTCAACAGAGAAGACCCTACACTGTCACCTCTCAACAGGGAAGACCCTTCACCTCTCACCTCTCAACAGGGAAGACCCTTCACCTCTCACTTCAACATCCACCCGTCTTACTCTCCGGAGGTAAGTAAAACATAATGTCTTATTAGAGGAGGCAGTGGGTGTCTCTTCATCAGTTTGTCTAGCAAAGGCCGTTGAAATAAACGGTCAAAAAGGCAATTGTGATGTAACAGCTGGAGTAAGACATCAAATATTGACTGAATTATAGCGTGAAGAAATCCAGACAGTTTTGGTGAGAATTCAGGCATTCAATTTAACGTCCAATTAAATGTTTTATTTTTCTTTGAAACGACCAGCCAATATTTTTAAACCATATATAGCCTCTTGATGTGTTTTTGTTATTATATTGATAGATAAAAAATATATATATATATAACTACTAATTTACAGTACATGATGTCAGTCATTCTGTTTTTTCTTGTGGTGATACTTTGAGGTAGTGCTGAGTGATTAGTGCCTTTTGAGGTCGGTTCAGCTTCAGTTCAATTGTTGAAAAATCCTCACGGTTTTCAATTTCGGTTAAAACTATTTTTTAAATAATCAATGCACTTTGTGGGTTCAACGCGCCGAATATAACTGGTGTAGACTTTACCGTGACTTGCTTACGAGCCCTTCCCGACGATGCAGAGTAAAAAAATTAACCTCTACGGGATCGGTGTCCTGTTTACGGGACAGTTGAGCTAACGTGCGCTAATGTGATTAGCATGACTGTTGTAAGTAACAGCAAACTTTCCAGGACATAGACATGTCTTATATGGGCAGAAAGCTTAAATCCTTGTTAATCTAACTGCACTGTCCAATTTACAGTAGTCATTACAGTGAACAAATACATTTACATTACATTTAGCAGACGCTCTTATCCAGAGTGACTTACAAATTGGTGCATTCACCTTATGATAGCCAGTGGGACAACCACTTTACAAATGTTATTTTTTTTTGTTGTTGTTATTGTCTTTAAAAAAAAAAGTGTTATTATTATTTTTAATTATTATTATTATTATTTTATATACACTGCTCAAAAAAATAAAGGGAACACTAAAATAACACATCCTAGCTCTGAATGAATGAAATAATCTTATTAAATACTTTTTTCTTTACATAGTTGAATGTGCTGACAACAAAATCACACAAAAATTATCAATGTAAATCAAATGTATCAACCCAGGGAGGTCTGGATTTGGAGTCACACTCAAATTTAAAGTGGAAAACCACACTACAGGCTGATCCAACTTTGATGTAATGTCCTTAGAACAAGTCAAAATGAGGCTCAGTAGTGTGTGTGGCCTCCACGTGCCTGTATGACCTCCCTACAACGCCTGGGCATGCTCCTGATGAGGTGGCGGATGGTCTCCTGAGGGATCTCCTCCCAGACCTGGACTAAAGCATCCGCCAACTCCTGGACAGTCTGTGGTGCAACGTGGCGTTGGTGGATGGAGCGAGACATGATGTCCCAAACGTGCTCAATTGGATTCAGGTCTGGGGAACGGGCGGGCCAGTCCATAGCATCAATACCTTCCTCTTGCAGGAACTGCTGACACACTCCAGCCAGGAGGAACCCAGGGCCAACCGCAACAGCATATGGTCTCACAAGGGGTCTGAGGATCTCATCTCGGTACCTAATGGCAGTCAGGCTACCTCTGGCGAGCACATGGAGGGCTGTGCCCCCCCCCCAAAGAAATGCCACCCCACACCATGACTGACCCACCGCCAAACCGGTCATGCTGGAGGATGTTGCAGGCAGCAGAACGTTCTCCACGGCGTCTCCAGACTCTGTCACGTCTGTCACGTGCTCAGTGTGAACCTGCTTTCATCTGTGAAGAGCACAGGGCGCCAGTGGCGAATTTGCCAATCTTGGTGTTCTCTGGCAAATGCCAAACGTCCTGCACGGTGTTGGGCTGTAAGCACAACCCCCACCTGTGGACGTCGGGCCCTCATACCACCCTCATGGAGGGAAGAAGGATTACTTTTATACTATCCCAGGTATTCCTAAAAGAGGTAGGGTTTCAAGTGTCTCCGGAAGGTGGTCAGTGACTCTGCTGTCCTGGCATCGTGAGGGAGCTTGTTCCACCATTGGGGTGCCAGAGCACCATTGGGGTGCCAGAACACTCGGAAGTCGGAGATTTTTGAGTACAAGCGCTGTTTGATTCACCAGATACTCTACACGCCCACGTTCTGATACGCCAAGCACAAAGAGGAACTGATCAAACAGCCAATGGAAAGGTAAAAGTAAAATGCCCACCGAGGTGTGTTCAGCAAGGAGAATGAGAGAGAGCGAGAGAGAGAGAGAGAGAGAGAGAGAGAGAGAGAGAGAAAGAGAGAGAGAGAGAGAGAGAGAGAGAGAGAGAGAGAGAGAGAGAGAGAGAGAGAGAGAGAGAGCAGGGTTGTACGCCGAAGTTACACATAGTAGAATTCACTAAATAAATTCCAAAATAATGACAAATACTGACATTTAATCAATTACAAATTACATGACCCTCCCTTGGACTAAATTAAAAAATACTAAACCCTCCCCCTGACTAAAATTTTAAAAGCATGACCCTCCCCCATTTTCCTCCGGGTAACAATTGTGTACATTTCGACCGGTCCCTTAATCAAATGTAAATTCTCTCCATCCGTTGCAAATTAACTCCTACCATAAGTCTTACACTGCTGTAACCATGAACTGCATACTTTACTTTCCAGCATTTCCCCAGGACTGACCTGACGATGAGAATGAAGCAGATGTTCATTTATGTCATTTTGTTGACAATTTACTTTCAACTGGCCACCTCTAATGACCCGGATGTAAGTGTGTTTTAAATGCTACAGAAAAAGTTGTGCAAATATGTCAATCAGTTAGCCTACATTAGCCTGTCGTGTTACACATAGTCTCACATTCCTTGAAATCATTTCCTGCCAGACTGACTAAATAGACCGTTTTAATTTCAATTAAATATGTTGAGTGTGCAACTAAGCTTTTGCCAAATCAGATGGGGTGAGATTGTCATTTGGTCCTCTGTAGCTCAGCTGGTAGAGCGCGGCGCTTGTAACGCCAAGGTAGTGGGTTCGATCCCCGGGACCACCCATACACAAAAAAAAATGTATGCACGCATGACTGTAAGTCGCTTTGGATAAAAGCGTCTGCTAAATGGCATATTATTATTATTATTATTATTTCATTAAAACTGATCACAGAATCACTCTGTTATACTTACAGCAGGAGATTAGGAGAAGAAGGCCCGCACCACGGGTAAAAACAAAACAAAAACAACTAACAACAAAGATTACATGATAATAAAGTTCAGCGATTATTACACAAGAGGAATCCCAGAGTTAATTGGATCTTGATTTAAAGGTTTTCATAGGCTAGGACCTGGTAATTTTTTTTTAAATAAAATTATATAATGCACAGGCCCACAGAAATGTCTCTCTATCGCACTTGTGTAATAACGTACCATTACACTCTAATTACCATGTATTTCCATAGCAGTTCCTATGTAACTACAAAATGTTATTACTGTGTATTTACAGTAAGAAGTGTAAGCTACAGTACATGAATAATGCTTAATGGGGTGTGTTTTTTACTGTAACATTTGCCTACTGTGTTATTGTTTTTGTTTTTTAAGTATGCATTTGGGGATATCATCAAATTTAATCGTCAGAAGATTGGCATTACATTATATAGCCACTATGCTATTTACGTGGGCAATGAAAACATCCAAGGTAAAAATACTGGAGAGGATATTTTTCACTTCTCAGGTAAGTTGACAAAAGTTTCAATAAAACATAAGCCTTTTAAATCCTTTGTTAAAGATTTCTACTCCCTTACTCATGTCAAATAGCTGTCTTTTTCCTTTATCAGGTGAAAAAAAAAATCCAGAAAATGCAGATTGTGTGTTTGCCAAACTGGAGGTGGTTACAGACGGCAGTACCCATGAACAACACAATTATAGGGATGCTCCAGGCTTCAAAAAGAGAAAAGTTGAAGACATGATTCAAGATATTATAGCTCTGCACAAAAAATGTCGAGGATCATACTCTGTTAATTCTAATAATTGTGAGCATCTTGCCACATTTATTCGGTATGGTTCTGCAAGCTGCATTCAGGTACGTTTTATTTCTTTAATCAATCATTGATTAAATAAATAATCAACTTTTCAAATCTACATTAAAATCCATCAAACACATTCAAAAATGCTATGTATTTGGCTTTGATAATTGTTTTAACATCAACTGGAATTTATAAACAAATAAACTCTGTAGGCTACGTGATGTGAATTGCTATGAGATGGTTAGTGGACGTAGGTGACCCCATAACAACCATGAATCCGTTTTGTGGTCATTTCCATAGAAATATAATGAATAGAATGGGCTTGGAAGATCTAACCCTGGCTATTTTACTGGTAAAGCCACGGGTACACTCACAATAAATGCGGTAAAGGAGTCAATGGAATGCAGACGTTCCATTGACCAGATTGGTGCACAATTCGACAAATCTGATATAACAAAGTGGATATTTGTTAAATCAGTCATGATTTATGTATTGTAACAGACCCACAATGTGGTTACTTAATTCAGATTTGGATATATTTGTCTCCCGTTAATATAAGTCGTTCTTGAACTATAATGCAGTTGATTGAAAACAATGACATGAACATGTGTTATGGTTGACATCCATACAACCATTATACTCCGATTTCTACCTCAACATAGTGTGATATACACATATAAGCAATGAGGAGATTCTGAATGTTTCCCCCACGAGTTTCCATTGCAATTCCATTGTTTTGGTCGAGTTCGATTGACTCCTTTAACACATTTATAGATAAAGAGCTCAATCAAACTTAAAAGTTATACATTGGAAAGACACCAAGAGACAGCAAAAATACTATTTACACACTATTCATATATACATATTCATATTATTATTATTATTATATACAGTTAAATTAGATATTTAGAAAGATGAGATGCGTTGTGATACAAGATGGTTTTCTATTAGTTTTTTAAGCTGAACTTGTATTTGTTGTAATGTCAAATGAGTTGACTCAATAAATCACAGCACAGATTGAAGGGTACACTTCCTTCTTTTACTTCCTGGCATGAGTACACTAAAAATGGCTGCCAGTCCGTCTTATGGCCAATTCCAATTGAAATTCCCTATTTCCTCATTAAAGGAGGATACATTGTAATTGTGATTGGAATTTCAGTAACCATCCTGAATTGAAATAATTGATCCCAACCCTGGAGACATTGTGTATCACCTGATTTTGTATTTTTGTCAACCGTCCATAGAGAGATGCCAATCCATTCACCCGTTTTTTAGCTTCACGTTTCTGCAACAATGTACCGACCCTGACATCACTTACGAATAATCAGAAGAGGGGGCGTGGCAGAAGAGGTCTTCGTCTCCTGCGTGATGAAACTCATTCCAACCAGGGTGCACCAGCAGCTTGAGATCTAGCTGTGTTCTAAACCTGGGTGATGAAACCCATTCCAACCAGGGTGCACCAGCTGCTTGAGATCTAAACCTCTCAGATGTTGTTGCTCTCTTCCATCCTCTTTCTCTCTGTATGAAGTGAGGTCTTAATAATAATAAAACATGAGCAAGAATTCTGTTTTCTGTCTGTTTTATTGTCTGTTGACTGCGTCCACATCCATGTTTTAAAGTGAGACCGTACACTGCTGAGAGAAGCAGAATGTATTAAGACTTTACTTTAGGGTAGAATCTACACATGGTTTATAAAGGGTTTGTCAATTAACTGCTACCATTTTAGAAATATGAAGTTATCCAGTGTTACTAAGTTTATGGTCACACAACTTAAGTTGTGAATTTAGAAAGGTTTACAAAGTCATGTATTGGTAATATGGTGTTTTCATAGAAATAGTGACTGGATAATATTTCTATGGTGTTTTACTGTAAGATGAGGAAATGTTGGTGACTTTCAGTAAGCATCATGTGGGCATGATTATCACTGATGTAATAGTTGAATCCCAACACTAGATGGCAGATGTACGATATAAAGACCTTTGGACTGCTCTAGTGTATTACAGTAACCTACTCACCTTTAACCTCTAAACCTCTTAAGGATCGGACCAATTTTTTCAATTTAAGCCTAAAACAACATATCCAAATCTAACTGCCTGTAGCTCAGGACCTGAAGCAAGGATATAAATATTATTGATACCATTTGAAAGGAAACACATTGAAGTTTGTGGAAGTGTGAAATTAATGTATAAGAATATTTCACATTAGATCTGGAAAAGGATAATTCAAACAAAAAAACGTTATATTTTTTAAATTGTCTTTGAAACGCAAGAGAAAGGCCACAATATAATATTGCAGTTTAGGTGCAATTTAGATTTTTTGCAAAGTTTCAGATTGATCCAGTGAAGTGTTGCAATACTGGACTATTTTGTATCAAGTCTGCCCAAATGTGCCGAATTGGTCAATTGATACACTTTGAAGCACATAACTATAGAGAACATACAACAATGGTATGGTAATACAAAATGTAAGTTTACACACTCCAAGGAAAGTCATACATGATGGATCATTAGCTTATACACTAACTTTCACACATCTAGATGGCCGGGCGGGGTGGATGTGGAGCCAGAGACAGCAGGGGATCAAACTGTAGAACCCAGTTCCTACATTTGAATGTAAAAATTGATTTTATCAAACAAAACTATGATACATTTGATCTCTGGGACCCTTAGGATGACAAATCATTGTCAAATCATCAATCAATTGTCTCCTGAGTGGCGCAGTGGTCTACATTTTACATTTTACATTTTAGTCAATTTAGCAGACGCTCTTATCCAGAGCGACTTACAGGAGCAATTAGGGTTAAGTGCCTTGCTCAAGGGCACATTAACGTCATTTAGCAGACGCTCTTAGCCAGAGCGACTCGCAAATTGGTGCGTTCACCCTATAGCCAGTGGGATAACCACTTTATCCTATCCCAGGTATTCCTTAAAGAGGTGGGGTTTCAAATGTCTCCGGAAGGTGGTGAGTGACTCCGCTGTCCTGGCGTCGTGAGGGAGCTTGTTCCACCATTGGGGTGCCAGAGCAGCGAACAGTTTTGACTGGGCTGAGCGGGAGCTATGCTTCCGCAGAGGAAGGGGAGCCAGCAGGCCAGAGGTGGATGAACGCAATGCCCTCGTTTGGGTGTAGGGACTGATCAGAGCCTGAAGGTACAGAGGTGCCGTTCCCCTCACTGCTCCATAGGCAAGCACCATGGTCTTGTAGCGGATGCGAGCTTCAACTGGAAGCCAGTGGAGTGTGCGGAGGAGGGGGGTGACGTGAGAGAACTTGGGAAGGTTGAACACCAGACGGGCTGCGGCATTCTGGATGAGTTGTAGGGGTTTAATGGCACAGGCAGGGAGGCCAGCCAACAGCGAGTTGCAGTAGTCCAGACGGGAGATGACAAGTGCCTGGATTAGGACCTGTGCCGCTTCCTGTGTAAGGCAGGGTCGTACTCTCCGAATGTTGTAGAGCATGAACCTGCAGGAGCGGGTCACCGCCTTGATGTTGGCGGAGAACGACAGGGTGTTGTCCAGGGTCACGCCTAGGCTCTTCGCACTCTGGGAGGAGGACACAGCGGAGTTGTCAACCGTGATGGCGAGATCATGGAACGGGCAGTCCTTCCCCGGGAGGAAGAGCAGCTCCGTCTTGCCAGGGTTCAGCTTGAGGTGGTGATCCGTCATCCATACTGATATGTCTGCCAGACATGCAGAGATGCGATTCGCCACCTGGTTATCAGAAGGGGGAAAGGAGGGGTCTAAGGCACAGAAGGGGTCTAAGGCACTGCATCGCAGTGCTAACTGTGCCACTAGATCCTGGTTCGAATCCAGGCTCTGTCGCAGCCGGCCGTGACCGGGAGACTCATGGGTGACGCACAATTGGGTGACCAGGGTAGGGGAGGGAATGGCCGGCAGGGATGTAGCTCAGTTGATAGAGCATGGCGTTTGCAACGCCAGGGTTGTGGGTTCGTTTCCCATGGGGGGCCAGTACAAAAAAATAAAAATATATATGTATTTACTAACTGTAAGTCGCTCTGGATAAGAGCGTCTGCTAAATGACTTAAATGTAAAATCAGAGCAAGATTACTGAATGTAAGTACATTATTTACCTTCAGAGGTGAATGTATCAAACCAGTTGCTGTGATACGTTTTTTGTTGTTGTGCACTCTCCTCAAACAATAGCATGGTATGTTTTCACTGTAATAGCTACTGTCAATTAGACATTGCAGTTAGATTAACAAAAATTTAAGCTTTCTGCCCATATAAGACATGTCTATGTCCTGGAAAGTTTGCTGTTACTTACAACAGTCATGCTAATCACATTAGCGGACGTTAGCTCAATTGTCCCGTATATGGGACACCGATCCCGTAGAGGTTAAAGGCTTATTGTCGAGAGTAGACTCTGCACCGGTGCGTAAATCTAAGTGACATAATAAATAAAAAAAATCCCCATCAAAATCCGTCAGTTTAAACTAGAGATATCTGTTTTTTTGCATGGGCTACGTCTCAAATCACTGCATCCGCCTATGGCGGCCTTCCGCATCTGCAGTGGAAGGTGGCTGAGTTACAGCGGTGTTTGTCAGACCATGAGAGATCCCGAAAATCGGTCTTCTCACAGAAGATACAATGTAAGAGTGCTGGACAGAAAATATACAGTATTCCTCTCACTGGATTCCCCTCTTGTTACTAAGAACAGCTAGACCACAGTATGAATACTAGCTTTAATGCAACTAATTCTGGGAGACTGTTGGGACGTTGGGCTGAAATTGGGACTCCTGCTCTGATGCCTGGCGACAGAAAATAACCCTAACCTAAAGTGTCCAGCTTCACACACAAAAAAAATTCCTGTCAACAAAGGCATATCTATAATCTCTAGTCTAGGAACACTACAGGTTAAATGTGTTTAATTCCAACGATTATCCTACTATCAACATTTTCCACCGGAAACACTAGATTTGATTTATTAGGATCCCCAATGGCCAATGGCGACAGCTAGTCTTACTGGGGTCCGACACATAACGAAAAGACATTACAGACAAAATACTTTACAATTTACATACATTCAAAACATTAATACAGTGCCTTGCAAAATAATTCATCCCCCTTGGCATTTTTTCCTATTTTGTTGCATTACAACCTGTAATTTAAATGGATTTTTATTTGGATTTCATGTAATGGACATACACAAAATAGTCCAAATTGGTGAAGTGAAATGAAAAAAAATCTAAGAAATAAATAACGGAAAAGTGGTGCGTGCATATGTATTCACCCCCTTTGCTATGAAGCCCCTAAAGAAGATCTGGTGCAACCAATTACCTTCAGAAGTCACATAATTAGTTATATAAAGTCAACCTGTGTGCAATCAAAGTGTCACATGATCTGTCACATGATCTCAGTATATATACACCTGTTCTGAAAGGCCCCAGAGTCTGCAACACCATTAAGCAAGGGGCACCACCAAGCAAGCGGCACCATGAAGACCAAGGAGCTCTCCAAACAGGTCAGGGACAAAGTTGTGGAGAAGTACAGATCAGGGAGCACTATGAACATCCAACGGAGCACTATTAAATCCATTATTAAAAAATGGAAAGAATATGGCACCACAACAAACCTGTCAGGAGAGGGCCACCCACCAAAACTCACGGACCAGGCAAGGAGGGCATTAATCAGAGAGGTAACAAAGAGACCGAAGATAACCCTGAAGAAGCTGCAAAGCAACACAGCGGAGATTGGAATATCTGTCCATAGGACCACTTTAAGCCGTACACTCCACAGAGCTGGGCTTTACGGAAGAGTGGCCAGAATAAAAGCCATTGCTTAAAGAAAAAAATAAGCTAACACGTTTGGTGTTCGCCAAAAGGCATGTGGGAGACTCCCCAAACACATGGAAGAAGGTACTCTGGTCAGACAAGACTAATATTGAGCTTTTTGGCCATCAAGGAAAACGCTATGTCTGGCGCAAACCCAACACCTCTCATCACCCCGAGAACACCATCCCCACAGTGAAGCATGGTGGTGGCAGCATCATGCTGTGGCGATGGTTATCATCGGCAGGGACTGGGAAACTGGTCAGAATTGAAGGAATGATGGATGGCGCTAAATACAGGGAAAGTCTTGAGGGAAACCTGTTTCAGTCTTCCAGAGATTTGAGACTGGGACGGAGGTTCACCTTCCAGCAGGACAATGACCCTAAGCATACTGCTAAAGCAACACTCGAGTGGTTTAAGGGGAAACATTTAAATGTCTTGGAATGGCCTAGTCAAAGCCCAGACCTCAATCCAATTGAGAATCTGTGGTATGACTTAAAGATTGCTGTACACCAGCGGAACCCATTCAACTTGAAGGAGCTGGAGCAGTTTTGCCTTGAAGAATGGGCAAAAATCCCAGTGGCTAGATGTGTCAAAATTATAGAGACATACCCCAAGAGACTT